TTTTTTTTTTTGCTTCTAACACGTCTTTATGATGATAGTATGCTACTATCACGTATTATATAGAATGGTAAGAGCATCGCACACACTTTCTATTCTACGCTTGTCATTGATCCGAAAGCTGTTTCTTTTTTCCTCCTATTTTTGTTTTTAGTTTTTTTTTTTTTTTTTTTCGTTTTATTTGTACTACTATTGTTCACGTTTCGAAAAATTTTTGCCAATAGAGAGACGACTACTAACAGACAATACAGTTAAAGACTAAATAGAAAATACAAAATAAAATCGACCGAAACTATCTAATCGACAACTGAAGCTTAATGTAAATGAAACCTTAAAGAACATACAACAGCAATAAATTATGACATGAAGCGACGAAGCAAAAGAGGTAAAGAAAAAAAAAAAACAAAAAAAAAAAACGAGAAAGAGGTACACAGATACGAAATACGAAACGCGTAAAGAAGTTAGCGGAACTAGCACGTTAACTACATACATACATAAATACATACATATATGCATGCATGAATATATATATATATATATATATATAAGCTGACTGACTCACTGACTGACTAACTAACTAAGTAACTGGATGACTGATTGTTTAGGTGCTTTGTTATTGTATCCGTCAATGAAAAACAGATGTATAGTAGATTTCTGATTCCGTTGGTAACATCTAGCAATATGCGATAGACATTTCATGAAATACATATGTATTCATTAAAAAGTTTCAAACTTTGTAATCATGTCGGACTATCCATTTGGACTTTTGTTGTTGCAACGCGTTTAATTGGAAAAAACTGAAGTTGAGAACTAAAGGCATGATAAACAATTTGATACCTGGATTAATCTGCCCACAAACATTGTTAAAATAATCGTTAATAAGCATATGCCAACATCTACGATAATTTCGTGCTGTATATTCCTCAAGGACGGGAATTCAGTTTTCGTAAACGCTTGCGTTTGAATTCGCCATTTCATGGCATCTAACAGCACACGTACCTTATTCGCTGTCTCTCAGTACGTAAGATGATCTTCATTATTTTAATAGGCCTGCCACTGTCGAACACTTGTGGACGGGGCCATTCTTTCCCGTCTATGAAATGCCTTCCGTTTATGAAACGTCTTTCTTTTGCTTTAACTACAGGCGCGACAACAATTTGCAAGCAGGAGTTCCCTTGTGCCCGGACATGGACGTGGTTTGCTCTCCATATCATATATTTGCTGCATATAAATTCACATACCTACTTCAAAGAACTTCCAGGATCTACAGTATAGCATCTACGATGGGAAACCTAATTTGGTAGCGGATGCAAAATTTCACGTTATTCTCTTCATTGAGTGGGTGTTTGTATGGGGTCTATATATGTATGTATGTATGTATGTATGTATGTCTCTAGGTTCTAGAAATTTGATCAACTTGAAATTTAAATTAATGTCTGTCTGCCCATCTTTCAAATTTGCATGACAAAAACCTCTGTATATCCCTAATACATGGAGTGTATAAAGGAAATTCAAAAGTGAGGTTAATAAACATGCTTAGTAATACCTACAAAGGAGGAGGAAATCTATTTATCGCTTCGATAATCACGTATAAACGGTGGCCGATGTTCAACTATAATTTTTTGCAGATATACAAAATGGGTATGACTCGCTCACGACCGTTTTCATGATAACCAAATTGCGTTCCTTCACTAGTCTTAACTACGGTTAACTTCGGAATGGCTATCAATTTACGACTTGTCCTGCATAATCCTTTAACATAAGGAGATCATGATTTTCTTTTCTTTTTTTTTTTTCATTTACCAAAGTTAGTGGGTACCGAAAATTCGTCTTAAGGCGTATATGACTTTCTTGTTCGTTTTAAAGAAAAGACTGCTCTTTGTTTTTTTTTTTTTTTTTTTTTTTTTTTGTATAGAGTATTTCTTTTTGTCTTTTTTCTCTATACAAGAAGAAGGTCATACACAGAGTGTAGTAAAATAAGTAGAATAC